CAGCACAGCAGATCTGGGTCCTTGTATTGTAGCTCTTTGGTCCACAGCAGGCACCATTTAATGGTTTAAAACTGATCAGTCCAGCACAGCAGATTTGGAATTTTTGATCGAATTTGCGATGTGCACATAAATCTCTAGGTACTTTTCTCGTATCTGCAAATTAGACATACCGATGGAATCAATTCATGTTATCATTCTTAACACTGCTATTCAAGAAGTATAATGTTACTTGAATGATAGCCAATATGACTCTTTTTGAGACCACACTAGTATAAACATGGTCGTGCTCTATGGCCAGTAGCACATAACTTGTACTCTCAATGAAATAAGTTTTGAGCAACTTCAGAGTGCTCATCTTCGCATCCTAACTCCCTTCTTCCCCTTCYATTTAAATTACAAGACTGTYTAAGTGAATACATATTTGATCACAGGTAAGGGATTGCACAAATTGCTCAATTGAACCTTAGSCTGCATTCATWATGTATTCCTCCAAAATCTCAGCAGTAATTCTCATAGCCCCCCTAAATTTGTTCGACCAAAAATTAAACAAATGGGAAAATTTAATGAGTAAACGAGTGATTTTATGCTTATCTCCAATCTTAAGACTAGATTTAATCTTGAAGCTCTGAAATRCTATACTAATATTCTCGGTCCCCGCCTTAAATGAAAAAAGGCCGGATATTCAAAGTTATGATCCGTCGCTATTTCCCGAGSAGGCGGTTGAAATCTAGATTTATCGATCAACTGTAGATCGAGAAAGACCTTAAYATGGTTACTCACTAACATGACACGACTCAGTATTCCTTTTTTGTCCCTTATCAACTAGTATATTAACTAAATAGTCATGCATTTTCTTTTCACAATCGACTAAAAATAACTTTCTGCACGTGACGCAGACTATTTGATAGTCGTGACGTCATGAACAGCCCCAAYCTTGTGACATTCCTTTAGTCGGTACATGTATTTCATTRCATTRTTACTCGGGCGAAAGCGGCGAGTCATAAATTCAGCATCGTTAGTGTTATTTTCCTTCAGCAACAAAATAACCAAAATCAGCGCATGCGCACGCAGCTATGATAGTAGTAGGCATGCGCACAATGAAATGATGAACCGCCGCCATTCTCGTCCCCAGAGCTCCTCGGTCGGTCGTTCCTCTCTCCCTTAGTTAGCTCTGGTGGCAGCCGTTTGAGGCTCGATGCTGATTGGCTGGGATAGAGGAGCATGCGCAATTTTCAGCGATCAGTCAACCGTCTCTGCTCGCTTCTGATTGGTCGATTTATAAGGATGCTCGGAGCTTTTTAGATGGAATTCTAGTGCGCATAAAGCCAAATAAACAAAGCTGACCTTTTCCTAACGGGCTCAGGTCGAATTTCAAAATTATTCTCAAAAGCACTGCATGCTTTATTGACTTATTCAATCCAATGACAATAGCTTTTCTGTGATATATAAATTTTATTCAATAACTCAATTTTGTAAATTGTTACATTATAAAAGTATTCCTTTCATGGATATTTTAAGCTTACAAACTATACATTTTTTGGCAAACATTTGTTAGGAAAAATCGATTGTGAAGTCACTTTTCAAGCTGATAACAAATGGTTGACTTACCACTGAACAACGAAATGTGCTTCGTCTACAATAAYAGCCTGTACCCGTGCCTGCATTCTCTCTTCTCTGAGCGCCTTTCTAACAGATTTATCATCAACAAAACTTTCAGCGTGACCAAATAACAACTTCGAACTGTGAATTCTTGATAAATCTAATTTTTGAGATATCACCTCGGCGTGAAATTCAGGCGACAGTTTGCAGATTTGGTCCTCAGTGATACAATTCAGAGGTGAAACAACGACCACACAACTATTAGAATCTCGACCCGCCGTTCAGTTCATCAAGTTCAAATGGCAACAATTGATAAATAAGAGACTTGCCAAATCCGGTTGGTAAAACACAAATGCAGTTATTTTTTTCTTGAGCAATAAATCTGATTACATTTTCTTGTTCCGCGCGAAGGTTGAAAGAATTTTGGATTTGTTAACAGCTTCGGAAAGACTACACAACTCATCCGCCATTTTGAAATTCGATGTGAGCCCGTTAGGAAAAGGTCAGCTTTGTTTATTTGGCTTTATGCGCACTAGAATTCCATGGAAAAACCTCCGAGCATCCTTATAAATCGACCAATCAGAAGCGAGCAGAGACGGTTGACTGATCGTTGAAAATTGCGCAAGCTCCGCTATCCTAGCCAATCAGCATCGAGCCTCAAACGGCTGCCACCAGAGCTAACTAAGGGGGAGAGGAACGACCGACCGAGGAGCTCTGGGTACGAGAATGAACCGCCGCATGATCAATATCGTACCTTGGTCTGCGACAAGTACAATCTCGTACCCAGAACCGCTGTCCCTCTTACTCGCAGGCTCGCAACGAAGAACAGGGGCTCTAGAATTATCAAACACCGGAAGTCAGAATCAGGCTATTTACCCATGCGCAGTAGAAACCCGATCTAACGGCTTTATTTTGCTGATTTTACTCAAGAAAATCGGCTAAATGAAAGCCTTCGTAGTCAGAAAAGAGATTTGGTAGACCTTAGATGATAAATCTATCTTCTTCGAAGCTATTTTGATATCTATTATGATCAGATCGTAGCAGACAGTGACGGTTAGTGATTATCATGGCGTGACAGTTCGTCGTCTCGCTGTATTCCATTTTATACTTAATTGATCATATTTCTCTCAAATGCCCACTTTATAGACTTAATAAATGCATTTAAAGGAAGAATTGAAGGTGAGGTAGCGAAATGCAGAATGATTTGAGTGTTTTTCTCGGTGATATTTTCACTTCCGGCGGCAAGTTGTTTATTTTATGAGCCAATCAGAGAGCGAGAAATTTTCGAAACTTCCAGAGCCTCTGTTTTTCGTCGAGCCTGTGAGCCTGCGAGTAAGGAGGGACAGTGATTCTGGGTACGAGATTGCGACAAGTACTTCGACAAGTACTTCGACAAGTTTTTCGTCGAGCTTGCGCAGTAAGAGGGACAGTGGTGCTGGGTACGAGAACTACATTAATAGCGGACAAGCGTTTAGAAAGTGTCTGTTCATTTTGGGACGATATTTTCCTCAAACTTGGAGACAGTTTACTTTACTAGCGATTACGAGCGAATATTGCGAGAGAACAAATTCTATGTGAATGATTCTTCTATTGCAGTAAACTCGATATCAAATTATTTACGAGTGAGCATTCAAATCGCACGAAAACAAAACTAACCTCAGATATCATCTCTAAGCATAAATCGATGACGATTTCATTCTGTTCATGATCCCGAACCGAGTAGATCTTAATCGTCTTAATCCTGTCTTTCTCAATTTTTCCAAAATAACCCGACTTCACGCTCTAAGAGCGTCTAGTTCAAAATATGCAAATAAAAATTCCGAGACAAATTTGACCTAAAAGGCCATGTAATAAACACCGTTGATACTTCAACTATTCGAAGCTGCATGAGATCTGCACATACGCGTGCTTCTGATAAGAAATGCACTCCGTTGAGATCACAGGTACCACATTTGTAAACGAATGAATTTTTGAATGTATAAAAACGCAAGTGTTGGTCAGTGGTATTCCCCATAATCGGTTGGGGTTCCTGTGTTAGGTTAGGGCCCGCCATGTTGGATTAAAGTAGCACATGTAGTTCAGTCGTCTAGTCCTTTTATTCATTCATAAAGCTTACAACTCAAGTATCATTGAACAGTTGCTATCGATGTTAGTACATCTATAACGTTTAAGCTTCCGGTCATGTAATGTCCAAACGCGACATAGAGTGGTTTTCCGTCAACCATGAAAAGAAATAGACCAACTAGTTAGTAGCAATTAGAAATAGTCAATGTAACTTTTAGACATATAGACTATAGACAAATAGCTAACCACTAAAATTAACATAAAAAAGCTTGTTTTTGTGATGAATATGTTGACACTTATCAATCGGATACAGGTCTACTCTAGACTAGACTATTAGTATTGGTCTATGGCAAACTACTACTAACTATTAGACTTATTGTGCTTTCATGGTTGACGGAAAACCACTCTAACACATAGGTAGATAGATTGGCAAAAAAAATAGATATGTACAAAAATAACTAAGCTATAATAAATATACAAAAAAGGAGGAAGTTGTTTCTTCATGTTCTTTTCCCGAGMAACCTCTGTCAAAGGATAAGTAAGCTGAACATTTAGCTATGTATAAATCGATATTATTTTTGTCGCTKTTTTCTTGTAATGGACAAAACCATATTTCCAATTATGTATCGATTATAAACTGAGTCGCAGATATAGAAAAGAATCCTGGTTCTACTTCAATGTACATTGACCCAAACAAAGCAATAATAGCACCATATAGGTTCAGGACAACAATGTGTCGCAATGATTTTATGCTCTTTGATTTGGAAGGTCTTGGAAAATAAACAGGGAATTTACTCTGCTGATGATCTCATAAAGATATGCAAGCTAAAWCAGTTACATATAACGGATGACTGACTTTGGTATTAAACAATAACCATCGGAATCACAATACAAACCCTTGAACGCAGCTAATACTAGTTAGCATAATTTAACACAAGTACAGTAAGCGCGAGTTCACTCAGTTATGCGTCTAGTTCTAAAGTATGATTGTATATACCCGCTTTATACAAGTCTTGGGTTTTATAGCCAATGCCCGGTGTAACGGCACTGGTGGGGCAGCTCTTAGAGTGAAGATAGGTCAGCTTGCATGTTGTCGTCTGTTTAAGTAATGCACCTATCAATGTTTTGCCCCAGGATGGGGGGAGGGGGGGCAAACCCCGGGGAATTTGACATTTTCGATTTTTAAAATTCAAAATCCCTACCCCTGGTCCATTGGTATCGATCAAATTCCCGGCCCTCGGGACAAAAAAGTRTTTCATACTAGATTATTACAGGTTATTGAGCTATGAACAAAGGGACAAATAATGACTGAATGCTAAATTCATTTTTGWAATAAGTTTAATCACATCGCATTTTACATGATAAATCAAGTGAAAGTAGTTTGATATTTACCTTCTCCGCACAAGGTGATCGCGAGGTGCGTGAAACGCTCCAGTTGACTTCTGGATAAAACTAGTTTCCAGGATTACTCGGCATTCAATATGGCGCCCATTAGTTGCAAATTTTCCGTGTCAAATTTCCCCTCCCCAGAGATTCAAATCGAAATCCCCTCTCCAGGGATATTTTAAAAATCAAATCCCCGGGGTTCATTGATAGGTGCATTAAATGGTCCGCTTAAGAAGCAGGTAAGAGAACAATAGCGTTCGTTACACTGAAAGAGTAAATCCAATTATAGAACAGAATGTGATTGGTATATCAGTCGAAAAGCGCCAAATTTGAATTCCCTTTTGAGAAATTGGACATTTAGAGATTAATCTAGTAGTATTTTTCTCTGGCATTTAGAAAATACATAATTGATATTTTACCTCCCTTAATTTGGAGAGAATTCTATGCGCCATTCAGCTGAAAATCCGAATTACAGTCAAAATATAAAACAAACAAAACAGTTAAAACAATTATTTCAGATAATGGTGTATGGCGCAGTTTTCAAATTCTTTAAGACCGCTTTTAGGGTTTCGTTGAAAAAAAAATGGAGCCATAATTAAAATTGCACTAAAATATAAAAGTTTTATTAAACTATGACAACATGCAGTCTGTATTTGGCGACCTCTTAGATCACGTCAATTACAAATTCTAGCATAATTTCTTTTTCATTTTTGCAGAAGTACATAACCAGAACTGGTTATGTACTTCTGATTTTTGCACTAATCACACATTTCAAGTTTTTGGTTAAATGATTAAATCTTCCCCTGTGAACATACTCGCTAACAGTTCCGGTCGAGATTCCTTCGTTCCCGTTGTGCGAGGAGAGCAGAATCGTTTTATTTCAAATCCGCAGATTGCCGACCTACCAAACCGTCTAGAGCTTTTGATATCAATAGTCAATCCGCCCAGGTTCATATACGTGCAAGACTCTTATTTTATCTTGTTTTTCTGGAATGCATTTATTTGCCCCAAGAGAAATAGCTCATTTTCTCTTGTTTAATCTTGGTTTCTTCTTGGCTTGTTGCAATGAAAGCAAATATGAAAAATACAACCTCGCGCGTTTTCAAACACGTTTGCTAGGTAATAAATACTCAAAATCTCGATGACAGCACGGAATCATGCACAAATTAACTGAACACCAACGTTTTTCAACATGGAATGAATCTTTCTTGAGCTTTCCCTGATCATCACTGATTTAGAAACTGCAGACAGATTTTAAATCAAGGTAGAAAAATCTAAGAAGAATTGTAGTTTGCATCCTTACCTTGACCTTTTGCCTCCAATGGCAAGCAAACTCCAAATGCGAGTAACAGCAGCACTGAAAGCGTCTTGGTTGAAATCATTTTTCAAGTACCACGACTCGAGCCTAACCGGGATGTCTCGGTACCTGACGGTTGGTATATGTTTGAACAATAGGKTTTGTTTGGACTATGGTATGCGCTATCTGGACTGAAAATGACCTGGACAGACAGGAAAAACCTGGACTGAGAACGATCATATGCATTAAGACACACATTTAGAGGTAAAMTTACACACTACTCACCTTGAAGTTCTCCTACATCCAAKCAAATGCTTGTTGCTCAATACTATGAGAACACWAAGAGTCGGCAGGCTTGGTTTAAGTAGTAGTAGCCTACGTCACATCCGGACTTTTTCTCAGTTGACACAAGCAATGACCTGAATGACGCACGGTATCAAMGTAGTAGAAGGTCACCCGTTTCCGAAAAACCTATGATAAACACATAAAGATCGGCTAAAGATTGCAGTACATGATAGAAATCATAAGATACATTGAAATCGTTTGCATTGTATCTTTTACTACTTTTCACTCTGGACAATAGTGCTCTGGACATCGTAAACATCCTTAACTGTGAACAAACGATTAGAATTGAATTGATTAATTTATCTAAAAATAGTAAATTTACATTCATCGACTAAATTGGCCTGTGACAATGACATCGTGTGCTTTTTCAAACTTTTCAATAGATTTTGTCACTTCATATGCACAACAGCACAAAGGTAGGATCGCGAATGTATTGTGGGTGCATAATTGTAAACGTCTCTGAAAATACCGCTTTGATGGCGCAGCTGACAGAGAGAGGGCCGCGGAACACGAAAAGCCTTGAGTGATAAAATACAATCGTCGATCACATAGTATCTGACTGATCTGACAAATTTCTCATCCATTTTARATACCCTGAAGATTTCTGCTCAATAAGTACTATTCTTTGAAAATCGTGTCAAAATGCCATATTYCTTTYATATCTGTTACCTGATACCCCTGTTTGATCGCTTCAAAAACCTCGATCGTGCAGGTCCACGTTCGTTTGTGSAATCATAGTTCGTAGACTGGGAGACAGTCTCCCTCCACTAACCATGGTGGAATGTACCCTGGTCCCAGAGGTTTGATATTTTCTCTCTTCGTTATTGTTTTAAGGCGCTTCGCGCCAACAAAAACAATAACGAAGAGAGAAAATATCAAACCTCTGGGACCAGGGTAGGTGGAATGAAAACAGACATCCAAACAATTTTTGCGCACTTTCGCAAAGAGAGAAAAACTGTAAGGTAAAACAGGTAAAACTGGGAAATGCAATTTCACTAGGGGAGATACTTTACATTTATTTAGACCAAAATATTGATTTAACTCGGCAAGTTTTCTGTAATCAACCTTTGTTATCATCTCGATTCAGTTAACAACATTTGCAGTGCGACGCCATGCTGAGGAAGAGAGTGGTAGCCTGGGGATAGCGTTTCGATACGTGAATCATGGAGCACAGGCCATGAAACACCACGAATGACTGAAGTAAAAAAAAGTCATTTGGATGGTCACTTAACAGACTTATTTAGCTTTTTAGAATTTCAATACGGTCGTTCACGTTCAACCGAAGCTGAACAAAAGATGCAACAAAAATCATTGAATGGCTTGCTAAATGACTATTTTTTAGATAGAGAATACTATTGAAACGAAGAAATTGTTTCAAACATAACAAACTATCGTCGGTTACTTCGTGAAGGGAAATTATTCAATTGTGGCGGCCGTTTTTTGTTGATCACTATAGACTGGTCTATTTCATCGTTTGCTTGTTTTAACAAGCTTTCTTGAAAGTTTCTTGAATTTTAATCTAGATGAGATAACCAAAAGATGTTGTGATGAAGAGATCTATGCACACGAAACACACGAGTGCTGCGAAAATGAAGTAATTAACAAGACCTCGCATGTTTGCTGTGAAGGGGAAGTAAATGAAAACATTGAAGACGGTGAATGTTGCGGCGATAAAGTGATTGATCCAAAAACCCATCGCTGCTGCAATGGAAAGGAATATGAAATGGGATGGAAGGAATGCTGCGGTGGAGAATTGATCGACAAAGAAACAGAGGGATGCTGCAACGCAACCTCTTACGCGCAWGACACGCACCATTGCTGCGGTAATGAAGTAATTGATGCCAACACAAGCAGCTGTTGTGGAGACAGACCCTATGCACATGKAACGCASCAGTGCTGCGGCAATGAAGTGATCGATGCAAACACGAAAACGCAAGAATGCTGTGGTGAAAAAGTAATYGATRCGGATTCACACGCTTGCTGTAAAGAAAAACCTTACGCACGGGAAACGCAAGAATGCTGCTCAAATGAAGTCATCGAGAGCGAGACGCAAGGTTGCTGTGACGGAAAATCCTACGATCGCGGTCACCATGAATGCTGCCATAARGATGTGATCTCTAAATCATTACAAGGCTGCTGCAATGGTGAAAAGTACCTTACTTTATTCAAGAAATGCTGTAAAGATCAACTACAGTGGAAGCATGTAGATTGCTTGACTCCTGATCAATCAGTAGAAAACTGACATTCAAAAACTCGCTTTTTATAAGGGGACTAAGTGTGTTGATTAGTTATAGGGTTTTGTAGGGTTATGTAGGGCTTATTTTCAAAATTTCACGTAAAATTACTGTTAATTTCTAGTTATTATCATTAATATCGTTTTCCATGCAGCAATTTATTTGGATAATTGAAACTATAATCATTATACTTGYAAAACCAATGTCGAATGAATTATCATTGTCGATTCAGTAAAACAAATCAACTCATTCATCTTTTTTTTATTTCAGCTCTATAAAAACACGTGTGTTATGCTTATTCGTACCGGTTGAATGCTCCGTCTGTTCTGGTTTGCCTAAG